GGCTTACAGGATTGAGCCCGCAAACTCGCATGCAGGCGCCAGAAACACAACCCGGCGCAGGACGCCTCGCAATTATATTCCATATATAGATTTTAATTACTACCCGGTTGGCTAAGGAAAGATGGGTGCCCAACATGGTGGCCCAGAAAAGCCCGAAACAACAAGCCCCACCAACCACGAGAATTAGTAGTAGGGTGATGTATTGGCGCATTGACCTAGCTAGAGCGCCTCTTGCGTCCGCTCCTTTTCGTCTCCAACAACTCGTCCATCGCTACCGCCGCTAGGGCTTCTTCTTCCAGCCGTCGCTTGCAGTCATCGCCGGCCCGCTGCTCAACATCTCCTCCGACTTCACAGCGCCACGGCTCACCACGAACCTGAGACCTAAAAGGTACAGTACTCAATACTACAGTATATAGATTAACATTGCAGCTAGAGTAAGAATTTGTGTTAGATCAACTGCAGTTTACATGCTTATTTCGTATTAACATGGGATTGCATAAGACCGGAGATTAATTGAAAGTAATGTATATGTACTCTTCAGTTCTGTTCGGCATCAAGAATTTAAGATGAGAAATACACCGCCAGCAAGTAACAAGTAGATTCATGCGTAGAGCTACGCTTGAACAAGAAAAAAAAACTGTAGGTTGCCTTAAAATTGCAAAACAGCATACTGTTAAAGTTTGGTACAGTTATACTATTTTGTTATATTGTTTGTACGATAGTTATTGCCTTTTTCACCCCCTAGGCTCAAATTTTGTCTCCGCCTCTAGTCATGCTCAATACATTAATTATGATGCAAATTGCTGAATTATGTGACACTCCCTCTGTTCCTAAATATAAGTCTTTTTAAAGATTTCAATATGAACTACATACGGATGTATATAGATGTATTTTAGAGTGTAGATTCACTCATTTTGCTCAATATATAGTTCATATTAGAATATCTAAAAAGACTTATATTTAGGAACGGAGGGAGTACATATCAATTTATGCGCACATACCATTTGATCTCCCTTGATTATGTGATGCGAATCCCTTCATTGTGTGATGCAGATCCATCATTTCCACATGCATGCCCCCTGATCTCCCTTCATTGTTAGTCACAGGATACAGCCACATCCTGAAAGTTTCCGTTTGATTCCTTTCCAGCTTCCGCAACATGGGTAACATTTTAACGTCTGCAATTAACAAGCCCATACCTGAGACGTCCTCGAGATGCCTGACCGAGTGTGTCACCGCCGCCCACAACTTTGAGGTGATTAAGTACTCGTTGCTCGAGGGTATGGGTTCTGGCAAGTTCATTTGCTCGAGCAAATTCAGCGTCAGCGGCTAAGACTGGAACATTAGGATCTATCCTGACGGGGCCATGAAGGAAGACAAAGCTGCCTACATGTCGGTCTTCTTGTGTTTCTGCCGTGGAGCAACAAGGGATGCGAAGGTGAAGTACACTTTTAGTTTATTAGAAAAAGATGGCAAAGTCAGTAATTTAACGGACAGCACATATACCTTTTCATCGGCGAGTATCGGTCGGGGCTGGACCAACTTTATTGAAAAGTCCAAGCTGAAGGAACTGCTGTCCCGCAATGACGACTGCTTCACAATCAGGTGTGTTTTGACTGTCATAAAAGACCATCACACGGAACAAGTTGGCACAGTCCCGGTCCAGGTCCCGCAGTCAGACCTGCACACGCACTTTGCAAATATGTTGAAGGGTGGAGAAGGCGTGGACGTGACATTCAGTGTCGGCGACCAACTCTTCAGTGCACATAGATACGTGTTAGCCGCACGATCGTCGGTCTTCAAAGCCGAGCTCTTTGGTCAAATGAAGGGGACCACTACAAAAAACATCAAGATCGATGACATGGAGCCTGCCATCTTCGATGCACTTCTTTACTTCATATACACAGATTCTCTGCCAAACAATTTCGATGTTGATCAAAATGTGGCACTGCAGCACTTGTTAGTCGCTGCAGATCGGTATGGACTGGAAAGGCTAAAGGCTATTTGTGAAGAGAAGCTATGCCAGAAATTTGATGTGCAAACAGTTGCAACCACACTTGCTTTAGCAGAGCAGCACCACTCCTTGCAACTTAAAAAAGCTTGCCTTGGATACCTGTCTTTGCAGGACGTGCTTCGAGCTGTCAAGAAGACGGATGGATTCAAGCACCTCACAACCAGCTGTCCATCGATTATGATGGACATATTAGACAAGGTCGCCCCATCGTCACAAGTATGAGTAGTTCAGCTCAGAATTTTGATTGAAGTATGCAGTTCTAGTCGTATCCATCGATTTCTATTATCTGCCTGGTGTGTCCACTGGAAGACTGAACTTCTCTTCGAGAATGTGTGTTCTGTGCTCTGAACTTATTGGTGTTCAAAATTCTAAGGAAATTCACATGGTTCTTTGTTTCTTTCTTTTGTGTTGTTCCGTTTCTCCCTTTAGTTTTGTGGCAGTGAATTTTCCGATAGACCCAGAGGAAACTAGGTTTACATATTCTGACATGAATATATACTAGACTGGAGCTCTGAATCGGACCTTCTTTGCTGTACCGTACTCCCTTGCACTTCCAGATATTCCAAGCTACCTGTCTGAGTTTGTACTTGTGCAATTAGATCTAGGCTGCGTGAAACTCCCATTTCCGATGGCACAACATGCCACCACTAATTTATCTATTCCAAGTGGTTCCTCATTGATGGGATACGGAAAGAACAATAGTTAGTGTCTATTTCAGCTCAGCTTAATTTGGTACAGCCAAAGATAAATTCCATAGAAAGTTGTGAACTTCTAGTAACCTTGTCATTGGCATCCAACTGGGTCACCAAAAACTGGCATTCAATCTCAGAACTGATCACTGACCCCAAACAAAGATAACCGGTCATGGATGATCAGCAGTTTAATGCAGGCATAAATCAACAAGAAGCTCACCAAAATATAGCAAAGCACTTACAGCAACTTCTCGTCAACTCTTTCCAGTTCTTTTTCTAATAACTTAGCGTCTTCCTCCATTCCATGGGCAATATATGCCTGAATCATGGTGCTATAAATTACCTTGCCAGGCTTACATTTCTTTTCCTTCATTAGCTGTAGCATTTCCTCCATTATTTTGATATCGCCAGACTTGGCGTATGCACTGATAACACAGTTGAAAAATGGAGTATCTAAGGCAACATCAGTGTTCTCCGTCTGCCGAATAATTGCAGGAACCCTATCAAGGAGCCCAGATTTGCTGTATCCATTAACCAGCGAGCAGTACGTGATGGGGTTGGGTTTGACACCCTTAATTTTCATCAGCCTGAAATAGTACTCCATCTTCTCAATGTTGCCAGCCCTTCCAAAACACTCTATGATTATGTTGAACGTAGCGGCAGAGGGTGAGAAGAAGCGCCGCTTCATATATTTCAGCACCGACAACATTTTGTCAGGCATGTTAGCCTTGCCGTAAGACTTCATCATGATATTGAAAGTCCGCGTATCTGGCTCAACGCCCATCAACTGAAACTCACCATACCACCTCTCCATGTCATCCACCCTGCCACGGTTGCCATAGGCCCAGATGATGGAGTTCATCGTGTATATGTCCGGCACATTGTCCCCGTCTTGAAGCATGTTGGACAGCGCATCCTCCATCTCCTCTAGCATGCCGGCCTTGCCGTACCCATTAATTATCCCATTGTGGATGACAACGTTGCATCCAACCCCCAGATATGACATCTCGTCGAGGACGGTGGGGATCAGGTCGAAGCGGCGCGACTTACAGCAGCAATTGATGAGGACAGAGAAGGTGTACTCGTCCGGCTTGCAGTCTGCGTCAGCACCTTTCATCCGATCGACCGTGGCCATCGCCTCGTCCAGCAGGCCGCTGTACCCGTAGGCGCCAACGAGCGCCGTGTACACGTCCACCGTCGGCGCGAGCCGCTTCTCCGAGAGCATCACCTTGAAGAGGGCGGTGGCCGGGCCGGGCTGCCGGCACCTGCCCAGCATCATCAGCAGCCTGGCGTAGATCTGCGTCCTCGGCTCGTACCACCGCTGCTTCCGCAGCAGCTCGAAGATCTGAGAAACAGCAATCCTTACGTGGTGAGCATCAGTCGAACAGGTAGCGCGCACCGGCTGGACCATACGAGAGAGAGAGAGAGGGGTTGAGGAGGGAGCGGACCTCGAGGGCGGACTCCCAGCGGGAGGAGGCGACGGCGGAATCGAGGGCCTGGAGGACGGCGCGGGGCCAGAGGCGGGTGGAGTGCTGGCTGGAGCCCGCGGACGCCTTGCGGGAGACGCCGGAGACGGCGGCCTCGGTGCGGAGGATGCGGGCGAGCGCCTCCTCCGGCTGCTCGGCCTCGGGGGCCGCGGACGAGGGCGGCCTGCGGCCGCGCTGGGCCATGGCGACGAACGGCGCGCGCAGAGGCGAGGACGCGGTGGTGGCGGCGGGGCAGCGCGCCGGCGAGTGCATGGTGCCGTGGAGTGGCGCGAGAGCGAGACGGAGGAGATAAGGTGCCCAGCGGCAGGCGGCAAAGCAACTGAGCGAAACTGCTCCCGTCCCATTCCATTACCGTTGGATGGCTTCAACTGTTTGGAACCGATTTTGCTCCCCAGATTTTTACGTAGAAACTCAACTTTTCCCTGAAATTTCCAGCAAAATTACATAAATCTCCAATTTGTGTTAAACAGAAAAATGTTGTTATAGATTAGGAGGCTGTTAATATTTGTAGTTATCTCCTTATCTCTTGTAACAACCTATGTAATCTCGGCTATGCCGTGCCCTAGAGGCTGCATATTTAACCCCTCCCGGCCGCCCTATGGGCTGTGCCGAATCCCAATCTCCTTCTTCGGTTTCAGATGGTATCAGGCCATCACGCGTAATCGCACGATGGGTTCCCCGATGGCCGCTGCTTCCTCCTCCGCTGCTCTCACAACCCTATCCCTGCCCGCCGCCTTCAACGGGCCGCCGGCGTCCGCCGTTCCCTCGCCATCTGCTAGCCTTATCACCGCCAAGCTCACCACCTCCAACTTCCTCCTATGGCGAGCTCAGGTTCTTCCTCCTCTACGCATCGGCGGAGGTACGGGCTACGTCGAGGCACCCTCCCAGCCCATGCCAAGCTCCTGGAACCCGATGACAAGGGTGAGCGCGCTCCAAACCCTGCATATGCCAACTGATACCATCAGGATCAGATTGTTCTCATCTACCTCCTCGGCTCTCTCTCTGATGAAGTGCTGCAGCAGGTGTATCGTTTTGAAACCTCTCGCGCCATCTGGGCGCATGTCGAGGAGATGTACAACATCCACTGTCATGCCAGCATCGTCCAGATCAAGTTGGACATGGTGGTCTTCCGGAAGGGCAACCTCTCCATGGCAGACTACTTCGCCAAGATCCGCGCCAACGCCAACCAGCTTGCTGTCGTCGGCCGCGCCATGCGTGATGAGGACATCATCACTGCCGTCATCACCGGCCTCGACAGCGACTACGAGCCACTCATCATTGCTGCCACGACTCGTCTTAACAGCATGTCCCTTGGGGAGTTTTACTCCAACGACATCGCCTTCGAACGCCGTCGTGAGTACAACGCCGCTCGTCTTCATCCCAGCGGCTCCTCCGTCAACTCTATCGCTCGGGACTCCAACGGCAACACCAACAACAACCCTCCCAACCGGGGCAAGGGCAACTACCGCGGGTGACCGCGGCGGCTACAACAACTCTCGCGGAGGTGACCGCGGGAACCATGGCGGTGGTGCTGCGCGCGAGCAAGGTGACTTCGGCGGCAACCGAGGCGGTGACCGCGGTGACTACGGCGATCGCGGTGACACCCCCGTCCAGTGCCAGCTCTGCCGCGGTCCTGGCCACTATGCCTGGGAGTGCGGCCAGCGCTACAACCACGCCTTCCAACCCCAACAATCCAAGATGGCTGGTCTCGCTGCTGCATCTCCTCCTTCCATCTTAGGAGATTCTGCCTGGTTCACTGACACAGGCGCCACCGACCACATCACCGGCGACCTTGATCGCCTCACGATCCGGAAAAAGTATCCAGGGAGGGATCGCATCCACACAGCCGACGGTTCAGGTTTGCACATAGCTCATCGTGGTCATGCAATTCTTCCTACTCCCTCTACAAATCTGAAACTTCGCAATATCTTTGCATGTCCCTAATGTTGACAAAAATCGTCTTTCCGTTATCGCCTTGTCGTTGATAATCATGCTTACCTAAAGTATTACCCTACTCATTTTCTTATGAAGGATTTGATCACCAAGAGGGTTCTACTTCAAGGCAGATGTGAGAATGGGCTCTATCCCATTCGGCCATCACCTGCTCGTGCTTTGTCTTCGGTTAGGTTATCTTCTGAAGATTGGCATGCAAGACTTGGCCATCCCTCCATGCAAGTTGTTCAGCATGTTTTATCTTCAAATAAGTTAGCTTCATTCTAGTCGGTCTTTGACCCATGTGTGTAAAGCTTGTCAGCAAGGCAAAGCACACCAGCTACCTTTTCCTAGATCATCGAGTGTTTCTTCCTTTCCCTTAGAACTTATTTTTTCAGATGTGTGGGGACCTGCCAAAACCTCTTCTGGTGGGTTCCAGTACTATGTCTCATTCATTGATGATTATAGTAAGTTTGTTTGGATTTATCTTCTCAAACAGAAATGTGATGTGTTTGATGTCTTCCGTGATTTTCTTGCTCACGTTGAACGCCTCTTGTCTCGTAAAATTCTATGTGTTCAGTCTGACTGGGGTGGTGAGTACGAAAAACTCAGCAACACCTTTTTTCGTCAACTTGGTATTATGCATCACGTTTCCTGTCCACACACACATCAACAGAACGGTTATGCCGAAAGGAAACACTGTCACATTATTGACATGGGGTTATCCCCGTTATCACATGCATCTATGCTCCTTTGTTTTTGGGATGAGGCATATCTTTCAGCTTGCTACCTCATCAATCGACTTCCTAGTCGTGTCATTGGCAACACTAGTCCTATGGAAAAATTGTTTAACACCAAACCCGACTATACATCTCTCCGTACATTTGGGTGTGCTTATTGGCCCAACTTGCGCCCCTACAACACAGACAAACTTGCTTTTCAATCTCAACAATGTGTCTTTGTTGGGTATAGCATTCATCACAAGGGCTGCAAGTGCTTACACTTGCCCACTGCCCGCGTGTACATCTCTCACGATGTCATGTTTGACGAAAAGGTTTTTACATTCGCTAGTCCTCTCCCCTCCCCCATACCACCTAGGGTAGCCGAACAT